CCACGCACACTCACAGACACGCGCGCACGCATACACCCACGCACACTCACAGACACGCGCGCACGCATACACCCACGCACACTCACAGACACGCGCGCAAGCATACACCCCCACACTCACAGACACGCGCATACACCGACGCACACTCACAGACACGCGCGCACGCACGCTCGCTCGCACCACACGCACGCAAGCACAAACGTACCACACACGCGCACGCATGTGTACGTGCGCACCCATAAACACGCATGCACACGCACATATATACACACGCTGCGCACACATGCAGGCACGCACGCGTGCACACACGTGCGCTCACACGTACGCAAGCGCGCACACACGCACGTACACACGTTTCCAATTTCACAATATATCTCCATACACAACACCATTCACACCCTCACGGAAACGTTCACAATCGCATACGCCGCATACGTTCGCACATTGTATAGCATCGCGTAAACGTGACAAGATGTGTGCATATATAAATCACTTTCATCCGAATCGTAACATTCCCAAATATTCTCGCACTTATTCGCCACAACGATGACGACACGCACACGAGCTGCGGCGTCCGATATTTCGCATCGTTGCATAATTTCCATGCATATACGATTTCGCAACGAACCGCCCTCAACACCTTGTTCAGAGTTCGTAAATATGAGATGTGCATGCTAGTGGCGCGAGCAAATATCCCCGTTGGCACGCACGCTAGCAACAACGGCGCGGTTGCTCTCCTAATTACGGGCTTCTGTTTGCTACTGGCAAGCACCGCAGCGGCCGATCGCACGCAGACGTGTATACGTTAATATCTCACCTGCCTACTCTTCATCATCGCCGCTACGCTGTAACCAAGGGAGAGACCACAGCACGGGCCTTATATAATAATAATAACGTTACGTTACACGTGTCGTTAATAATAATGTATACGTTATAATATCTCACCTGCCTACTCTTCATCATCGCCGCTACACTGTTACCAAGAGGGAGACCACAGCACGGGCCTTATATAATAATATATAATAATACGAGAGGGGTCTACCGAGTGTCGTCGTTCCTCGATGTAAATTGCTTATCGTGTGTACGTGCACATGTGACATCTTCATTACCTGAGAGAGTCGCGTGATGGTCGAGGAACATACCACCGAGAACATTTAACGACAGTTCGCGACATAGCGCATCGATAAGTTGTCACATCCGGCTTCCGGAAGGACAAATAATTATCGGGTTATAAACGCTAAACAGGAGGACACCATATATTGGTAGCAGCTGAACGCATAAACGCGGCAGAAAATCGCCGATTGATGTAGAAAAAAAACGCACATTAAAAAACTCATTTAAACGCGCATTTAGATTACATTGGGCGCACGCCGGTTGGCTAGGGAAATCGATCGCTGATCAAGAGTATCGAACAAGATTGATGTGTCCGATTAGTCGAATGAGACTGAAAATCGCCGCGCGTGTACGTGTATGTGCGCGCGCGCGTATGTGTATGTGCGCGCGCGCGTATGTGTGTGCGTGTACGTGTATGGGCGCGCGCGCGCGCGCGCGCGCGTGTGTGTGTGTGTGTGTGTGTGTGTGTGTGTGTGTGTGTGTGTGTGTGCGTGCATGTGCGTGCGCCGTGTGTGTGCGTGTGTGTGTGTGCGTGCGTTCGTGTTTACGCGGTTTTATGTCTGAGTACGAATACATACCTAAATATTGAGAACGTGTTAAATGTTATCATATATACAAATCCGTTTATAGAACAAGTTTTCAGGAAATTGCCACGCACTTAACCTGTACGTACACGTGGTGCCGGGTGGTTTAGTGTTTTTGCCCATCGCGCTTAACAACTGGATACGGATCGAGTCCCCGCGTGCGCACGGGAAACTAACCCTAACTACCAGATTTCCTGCGCCTTCAACTCCCGTAGCTATTCATCCCGCTGTATATACCGTCAGCGTGCTAGAAGCAACCGCGCACGCATTAGCGGTACCCTCTTACACACATTACACATGGGGTGGTCCCGTGAAACAGACGACCGCGCACCGAGACCAGCTTCCTGGCAATGCCGCGTAAAGGTTAATGTATATTAATTAGCAGGTATTTCCTCGTGTAGTCTACTGTTTGTTAAGCGACAGACGAACGCACGCAAAGCGAAGAGGTGGAAGCGGCGGAAGGTGCGGGTATGTATGGACATCATTTAATATCTTTCGTATTCGTATTATAATTATGTGTATTATTGTATGGCAGAATCAAACACACTTGCGTTCTCATCGTTAGAGGTGTTGGTGATAAAAGCAAACCAGACAGATAGCGATTAATTAAGTGGGCGCATGCGCGAGTGCCTGTGTATGTGTACATATAGAGACGTGGAAAGGGGATCGAGATGTTTTCATCAGTTTCCTAGTGTTGATTTTAGCACTGACAGGCTGTTTACAACGTCAGCCGCTTGCAATTAAATGCGCGTATCTCCATTTTTTAAACATTTATTAGATATTATCTGGATAATGTCTAGATCGTTGAGCTTGACATGTTTATGTAATATACGTAGAACATTTCGTTTACATACACACTTCGATATATATTGCAAGGTAGTTTCTGCGACGGTGCTCATATTGACTCCCCTTCTAAACAAGGGTTGATATTAACTGCAAAACTCCATAGTCATTAATATTCTAAATGATATATATAATTGAATAAATAAATAGTAAATACCCGTACTATAATTAATGTCAATGATAGATGTATATACAATTTGTCTTACTGATATTCGGTAGAGTTAAAATGCCTCAGCGTTTATCATACACGGCGCAGTGACGCACGCACATAATTATATATCCTTCATACATATACGCAGGTCACGCGCGCTACGGACTCAATGTGTATGTAGATATGTTTATTGATATAGCTCCCTGGAAGCTTGCTTGGTACATATTGTTGTATATCTAGCTCATTGGTTTGATAATATACAAACACAAATATATCTATGGTAGGTCACAAAGAAGCTATATAAAGAAATAATTATAGGTATATACATAGCTTCTTGGTAGGGCATAGTCTTCTACTAGTATTTAATAGATGGCGCCACATCATATGCTGTTTAAATTTAGCAAATTAGCAGAAGCATCATTTAACAGAATTCGTAGTTGCTCGTCTCCGAGTATAAACTATAAATATGAAGAATATCCTGATGTTGAAGTACTTATTTATATTTGCAGTTATCTTCTCGCCTTTAACAGGTGAGTTATCACCGTGATGCAGTGCATTGCTTTTATATCATTGAAATGAAATAATACCGAGTACTGGGCCTACCGATGTTGTCTGGTGAAGCCCTAAACCTTGCCGTAAACTTACATGGTTCTCTTTAGTTTCAAGTCCACTTTATTAACTCTATTGACGTCTTTAATTTGCCGCCTATGATCGTGTTGAATTATTTCCCATTCATTGTTTCTTTCACTTCCTAATCATGTCCTTCTTGATCTTCATGTGATTCCTAATGATCGTCTTCCACTGTAGTAATCACTGTAATGTACTAAGAAATGATACCATAAACTGCAACGAAACCTTTTGATCACATCTTGTATGTATGTATATATGTAGTGTGAGCTAGAGCTACATTATACATAATCACATATGCCCCTTTTGCCGGGTATAAATTAAATAAGAGCTAGCTTGGTACATGATTCATATAGTTAAAGGTTGTCTAAACTTGTTAGTTTGGTTACAGAGTATGGACGACTTGGACGCATGGCTAGGGCATCTTGTGTAGTATCTGAGAGCAAACTCACTGAGTGCAGCTCTAGTATTGTGACCTACTACAATACGACCGTGAGTGCAGTGATAAACACTAATGAGAGCAGTGCGGTACTGTCTGCAGCAGCACAAAGCTTCACAGATTTCTTCTGCAGGTATTTGTATTACACTATTACAGCTTCTACTTTTTCTTCTTCTTCTCCTCCTTCGTCTTCTTCTTTTTCTTCTTCTTTTACTACTTCTACTCTATTTCTTATAAAGAGCTATATTTTATTGCTACAAATTTCTCATGGATAGGACATTATGCAGCTACTAATATGCGACTGTAATTCATGATATGTATGGATTATTGATCACATTATTATTATTTTGTATATTATTAACATGCCGCATTTTGTATTTATAATTCTTTGCGAGTAGAATTATAATCAATTATATTTGATCGAGTTGGTTGGTGTTGAAAGCTGTTGTACATATGAAGAATCCATGTACATATATAATTCATCATATATCATGTATCATATAATACCTATGGTAGAATTTTAATTTTGCTTAGAGGCAAGGCAGCTGTTGTCTCGAGCTAGTTTAATCAGAAAATCTTAGGTCACCATAGCAAGTTGGAGGGGACTAGTAAGGCAAATTTTGCCTTCAAAGAAAGAACACTGTTGACAATTTCTTTAAGCAAGCATAAGACATCGAGTGAGAGAAATAGCAGATTTCAAGTACCATTTTTTGTAGCAAGATTCAGTCCAGTCTTTCAAGTTACCATGGCCAGTGAAGGGGCGGTCACGGAAATTGTTTTGGTAACGTGGGAAAACTGGAGCCATGTAATAATATTCTTAATGAGCCATAATGTGTTTTAATTTCAGCGAGTACGATGGCATGATAGACTGTGTCGACGCCCTAAATACTTCTGAAACATCATCATGCTTCATTGATGGCTCTTTGTTTCGAAATCCTGCGTATCTTTTATTTGGTAAGCTCTAAAGATGCTACCATGATCATATATGTATAGATACGTACCAGTGTATAATATATAGGTCCAAGGTGCTAACTAGTATCAAGAGTAAACTGCTCATATATTCCTGCAATTCTGCAACTGTGACGTGCCTGTTGAGTTATCTTTGTGCACATGAACTTAGTATTCGATATATATATATATAATGAAATAGCAGTAGTCTTTCCACATCAGATGTGTCACAATTTGTGTTAAACGTTTTATAACGATATTACAGCTTTTATAATCGTTTCATCGTAAATCCCACGCAGTGTTCATTCGTTCAACCACGTGCAGTAAGTTATCGAGCGTGTTCTCGCCCACAGACGGAGAGAGTTCGACGACAACACCGGTCGAACTCACGTACAATGGCTTCCGATTCTACCGCGACGCAGCGATGGCCGTCAAGGAGTTTCTTTGCGGTTCCTCTCTTCACCTTCTAAAGGGTGACGATACGATAAAATCGAAATCTAAAAGAAGCTAACCATATGTGTCTATAATTCACGAAGCCACTAGCTAATATCTCAAAACAGTGCTAGGTAGCGGAGCGGAGAGAAGCCACTTTTGACGTTTCGCGCACAAATTTGTAAGCGGATCACTCTCCCAGTGGAAGAAAGCTCTGAAATATATCGGGATCATATAGTCAGCCCATAGTCAGCTATAGTCAGCCCATCCTTAAAAAATTCTATGTTTGCTGTCCCCCGACCCATGATTTTTTTAGTGGGTAGGTAGGTAGGTCTTTTTTTGTGTGAGACATAATAGTTATTTTATGTCTGTCCTCATGTTTGCCACACATGCTTTGTGTTTCAGTCTTAACTATGAGGAATGTAAAAAAAAAAAAAAAGGATCCCAAAATGTAAAAAAAACTTTTGGGTCGCGCCTAATTTCGTGGGTCGGTCGGAGGACAGCAAACATATAATTTTTTAAGGATGGCCTCAGGGCGATCTAGTGGATAACAGTGAAAGCATTCGATGTGTTCTAAACAGCGTGTGCAGAGGAAGAGCTACGCTACGACTTAGCAAAATCCGTGTCACTATACAATGTTGCATGCGTAACCACACATTGATCAATATATACGCAAACGCTAATTAAACTTTTTCCAATTAATTTCGACAGTTGCCACGTCTGAGACAGAGATAGAATGCAGCAGGCAACTTCGCCTGCTGAACGGTTCTGAGGTACAGCTGCGACACATGGCAAACGCTGCCATGGACACTATCCAGTGGAACACCGATGGGGGCTTGCTCTCTGACAGTGACTGCGAGTGAGTCATAATTATAAAGCTCTAGCTTATACACAAACCGTCACGAAAAAAACTCGAGCAATTATAAATATGTGGAAAAAAATAAATAGCTTTAAATTGAGCTAAATGCTGTACGTAATTAAACTTTCATCATAATGAGGTTCACTAGCTTCTCCCTAGTGCTGATATCTAGTATGAATCTATTCATCACTGGCAAATATCAATGGCAAATATCAGGGGCAAATCCAGACTTCCTGAAAAGGATGGGTTCGGTGAATGCTGAACAGAGGAATGGTTGGGGGAGGGAGGATTCTACAGATTTTTTTTTTTAATTCCGAAAAAGTTTTCAAAAACAGTTGAGATAAGATCGCACATTCATATCGATTTCACGTATAATTTAACAGCAGTAAACGAGAGCCATTTACGAAATAGAATACATCTTCACCAAAGCACTTTATGCCCATCAGCAGATGTTTCGGTCATCGTAAAACACAATGCACAGTGCACCGACCTTCTCGCAAAAACGGATCGCGGAATCTAGAAAAATGCCCGGTCAGAAATAGCATAATCGTCGAATATTGCTTGTTAACCAAGCACCATCTGCCTGGAGCAATTAGTGTGCACACTTCAAAGTGGCGGCCCTGGCTGGCTGGCCTTTTCCAGCTTTCTCCGGCACTTAATAAAAATAATTACGCGGCAGTTGCGATTCAACCACAAATTATTCAGCAGCGATGGTTTTGCGTCGCAGCAGCTGATAGCTCTGCTTGTTACGAAGCCCACACGAGCAAGATCGAGAACTCTTTTATTTCGCATCGTCGCACCCACTCACACGCATTAACCACTTGATGCGGTAATGCAAGACTGGAACTATCCCACGAACTCATTTCTGATTTCGCTAAACCTCGACTGCCTACGTCTCATAGCTTTTGACAGCTTTTGATAGCACGTTTTTGACTTTCAGGGTAGCCGGGAGCCGCATCCATTCCGCATGCGTTTTGTCGTCGTCGTGGTAACGCATGTGCTTGTCTTTCAGGGTAGCAGGGAGCCGCACATCCGGGTACCCTGGGTCTGGCGTGCGTACACTCACGCCAGACCCAGGGTACCCGGATGGGATCGAGCCGCATCCATTCCCCAGCGTTTTGTCGTTGTCATGGTAACGCATGTTCTTGTGTTATTCAGGAGTCTGCGAGAACTGTTCACTTCCGTCGGGAAGGCGTACACTTCGTGCCATCTGACCTACGAACTTCTAAGCGGGTTGTTCGATGTCATCACATCGAACGTGTGTCCTGCGCTGATCGCCGAACACGTGAGCCACATTATAGCAATATTGCCCGCCGCCCATGCCATTTTAATTATATCTATTTTGTAGTAGGGCGGAGTTGGGGTGGGAGGAGAGGGAGAGTAGGGGTGAGTTTAGCTGGAGGTGGGAGTGGGGAAGAGTGTGTGGGGGTGGTCAAGTGGGGGCACTTACATTCTTTACCTTTCTTAGTTAAGAGAGATGGGAAGACTAGGGGTGGGAAGTGATATATATCTAGGGGATTTTGAGCGCAAGAAACAAACAAGTGCACACAGAGACGATCTGATCAAAAGGTCGCTGACGGTAAAGACCTGAAGGAAGCCAGCATGTTCAGCATGTTTAGCTTGTTACTGTGCTGCACATACTCGTGTGAATTGCCAATCATGTGAATTAACGAACGAAAACCCACCGCGGAAACTTTCTCTCTCTCTATATCTGTCACCATCCTTTTTGCTTTGTTTACTAGATCGAGAGCTTAGCTCGGAATGCTCTGCGATAGATGCACCGCTCACAAATGTTCGTTTCTGCCCGACCAAACTCTCCTTGATATCACCTAGAATTCATCTAGCTTGGCTTTCACACTAGGCTGCTGCCACCCACACACGCTCGCTCTATTCCCACACGCATGTTATTGCTGTTATCAACCAACTTACCGCGGAGATCACGACGCAATCCACAGTATAGCATTCAGCGGCGCACTTAAATTATTGACTCCTGAGATATTCGGGGGACTTACGCGCGATGACGAGAGCACTAAGCGTCACTCGGGGAAAACCGAGGCAATTTTAGGAAAACGAGAGAATTTAGTTCTGTCCCCGAAAAAGTAGATATTAACGAGCAGAAAACGCAGTTCTGACCTGCGCCTAGCACCTGTACGTTTCCAGCAGGGAGCGAGTTACGAGCGCGGCAGATCAATGGATAAGTGTAGAGTGCGAGTACAGACTACAGGCATCATACTCGTGACGTCACCACGCAATACATATATATATGCATGATGATACACGAACTCTCACTGCAAAACATTTGGCAATCTTAGATTGAAATCATCTATCATGAATAATTTATGCTAATTTGCAATGGATTCTAATCTATGATATACCACATTAATATTTCATAAATCTATCTAGAAATTTTTATGATGAGGGGAGTGATATCACGCCGCGAATTCCAACAATCGCCCAGGTAGATTTTTTCTCCGCTATAACAGCTGAAAGCACTACAACTCAAAAAACCTAAAAAGTGCAAAAAAAACTGATGGAAAGAACCAAAACTGTTGCTAGTCTCGTGGAAATAACCGCCAATATCTTGTAAGATTTCTGCGAGATTAACAGAAATCTCGCGAGAAACTAAAGGGTAAGATGCTTCGATCCCCGCTGGATGTATTTCGGGACAGCTAAGTGGTTGTCTGCGGGGGGCCATTCTGCAGGTTTAATGGATACACTACGGATGCCCCTCTTACAGAAAACACCTCGTGCGCACGAGCAGCAGCATAATTCCCAAGCCGTCGATACATGACACATCAGGGATTCTCAAACCCCCGCCTAGTTCAGTGGCGGCGCTAAAATGCAGCCTTTAGGTTTCAGCAGGTGTTCAATGTTGTGAACCAACTTCACAGCCAGAACTTAAAAAGTTATAGTGGCAGCTATTGATATTTTTGATTGGGTGAAGTCAACATGATACTGAACGAAAATTTCCCTTGTTTCTTTGCGTGAGTTGATCGACCGATGTGTGGCACTCTTCTTCGTAACCAGGCAGCTAAAATAAAAATTCTGTAAAAAATCTTTAAATGATTATACTATTATAATGATAATACTAGTCGGTCACTGAAGGCATGCATTAATGCAAATATCAGTAATTAGTTGTATAATTTAAAATATAGTAGTGTAAATGCTCTGTTGCAAGTATACCCATCCTAATAGAATTTATATTAACAGAAAAATACAGAGTATCATAATTGCCTCGTTAGGCTGTACACTTTAGATGTATACTTGGTGAATGCGATTAGTTCGGCGGGTTTATTGAATTGTTGATAGTATCTTCCACTTCCTACTCACCTACACACACAAGTATGTTATCGTAACATATGGTCGCCGTCACGATGACAACTGAACCGCCTTACCGCTCCCCGTCAGCTGAACGCGCTCTTGTTTCTCCCGGCAGGACATAGACCACGAGACGGTGCACGATGAGCACGATGCATGCCCGCTGCTCGCACCAACCCCGCTGCTGCTGCTGCTGCTGCTGCTGTTGGCATCGTCGACTGCCGCTCTGCATCAAGCCTTGTGACTGCTAGGTCAAGTCGTTGTCGGTCAACGCCGAAGCCGCATGAAGTCACATCACTGCCAGGTGCTGCTCTCTCGACAGCTTCTCTCCATAAAGATGGCCGCGTGGTGCCACATTGGCGTGGTGCCACATTGGCGTGGTGCCACATTAGCGTGGTACATTAGTGTGGTGCCACATTGGCGTGGTGCCACATTGGCATGGTACATTAGCGTGGTGCCACATTGGCGTGGTGCCACATTAGCGTGGTGCCACATTGGCGTGGTGCCACATTGTCGTGGTGCCACATTAGCGTGGTGCCACATTGGCGTGGTGCCACATTGGCGTGGTGCCATATTAGTGTGGTGCCACATTGGCCCTCTAAAAACCGGGTGGTGTCCATGGCTGATACTTCCACGCATCCCTGCACCTACCACATGGTGCCAGATTTCCTGTGTCTGCCAGGTAACACTTGTGACTGCAACTCCATGAAGCTATATCCACCAGATGGCACCAGTGACTGCTAGTCTACAGAAACCTCTATCCACCAGATGGCACCAGTGATTGCTAGTCCACAAAACTCTCTATCCACCAGGTGGCATCAGTGACAGCTGATCCACAAAACCCTCTATCCACCAGGTGGCACCAGTGACAGCTGATCCACAAAACCCTCTATCCACCAGATGGCACCAGTGACAGCTGATCCACAAAACCCTCTATCCACCAGGTGGCATCAGTGACTGCCACTACATGAAACTCTCTATCCAACAGGTGGCACCTGTGGCAGGTAAACCATATACCTGGCAGGTAGAATCAGTTACAGCTTCTACATGAAGCCGTGTACCAGACAGATAATCCTAGTGACAACCATTCATCATCAGTTTATTTGCTTCTTGCTTCCTGCTCTACTGTGTTATTCTGTGTGTTAATGACCTTTCTACATCATGCTCTGTACTTAATTTTAAAGTATATTGCAAAACAAAAAAAGGCACAATACTGTATAATTTCAACTTATAGGCATTCTAGCACTGTATTTTACAATGTTCAAATTACACGCACGTTGCATGTTACTCTTGTCAAAAAACATCAAAAAACTGTCTGTACATAAAAAATATGTAGATTCATATTTCCTTCAGCATTCTCATTATCTCTATCAAACCACGAGATGTGATAAGGGATTAAAATTACCACCAGCTAAAAGCTCTCCATATTCCGTAAAATGTGGTGCACCCGAGTTTTAGCATGCTAGGGAAACATCATCTACGTCACTAACATCGCTCTGCACCATAACGCCGTTCGATACAATCCTTGCTATATCACCCATAGACAGCCCAAGTGGCAATCGGCGCAATAAATTAAGTTAATTACAGCCTTTTATCGTGCCGCTGACGGTAACGGCCAACTGTGTTATAATCACAAATCATGCACGCATGGGCGTTGACCGTTGAAGCAAAGATCTGCTGATTTTTTCCGCCAATCTAATTAATCTTCCATCTTGAAGATTAAATAAGCATGCAGTGAGAATTGCACTCTCGGTAATAAATCGCCACCGAATCCAATGAATAATGAATCGACTAACGATCATGTAATCGCAGGGGTGAACAATCGGAGCACATAGTCTGCACAACGCCCCCTATACGTTGACGAGCGTCTAATTCTTCACATCCACCGAGCGTACCGATGCGAGTGTTTAGAATGCGAGTCTGTCTACCCACGCGCGCCTGCCGCAGCGAATGTACACCCACACGGACGGTAACCTGGGTAGGGAAGTGTTCAAGGCTCTACATCTATAACAACTACTATTCCCTGTCGCATAGATAAGTATATAACATAGATGTAGAATGATTGAGGAGGGGCATCACTCGGCTTGCCGACGTCACATACTACTGAGCAGCGCATTGGTAGTCTCAGTCGCTTGCTCGCGCCGAAACAAGAGTGAGCAAAGCACCATTGAGCCTGCGGCGGCTCTTAAAGATGTAAAAAAAACGCTGTAACTTTCACTTCGCTTCCACGGTCTTATCGCAAAGTCCAGATTCATCGGTATAGATGCAACATCGAAATCATTTACTCTCGTGGCAAACGCATCGCCAACGACGCCCGCCCTACTGTTCGTGTCACATTACGGTACACCATCTGCAGGACGACATTGAATGCTAACGACTCAATGAACGAAAGTCGCCTAGCTCGCTGCCCTCGCGCCAACCTCGAGCCCCGCCCGCTAGCTCCCTCTATGGCCGCACTCACGCTTCGCTGTCAGGCACGTAGGCGTAATCTATCGTGTCGACGTTCTGCTGTCGCTTCTTGCGTCGTTCACACTTGGGGCACGGCTTCAGCTCGTTCATGCAGTCCGAGTGAAAGACGGTCTGGCATTTGTCACACTGAAACGACGATCAAACGTCAGGTGACGCGTGCGTAGCAATACACTACAGGTATTCCATCACGCGTGCTTTAGCGTTTCATTAGCGGTGCGAATGAGGGTTTCATTAGTGAATGGGGAAAGGATTTCCAAAAAAACGTGATCTCCGATAGCTTTGGATAGCATTTACCTCTGCCAAATCAGTGATTTTTACCTCGTTTTTTTCTGCCTAGTGAACATGACCAGAGCAAGGCAGAAGCTCAGCATTATGCCACAAACCACTATTAATTTGCTAGATACAATGTGTACCCCGTTTTTAAAGGGGTATAAAAGGGGTATAAAAGAGGTATAAAAGGGGTATAAAAGGGGTATAAAAGATGTCAAAGGGCTTTAACATTTTAGTGTGCGTAACAAATTACTGGGGTTATTCCATTCTAGAGATTAAGAATAAAATTTGGATTAAGTTAGATAGTTCTAGCTTCATCGCGCACACTCACCCGGTACGTCGTCGAAACCTCGAAGGGGAAAATCACTTTCGGGTTGTGGCATATCTCACAGATGAATCCCTTCTGAGTGCACAGGGGACAGGTGCTGACATGCTTCATGCAGTATGCCACCAATCGCCTCAGCGTCTGCTGCAGTAGACCAGACTCTACCTGAAGGAGTTCCTACAGAATGGAAAGCAACAGCGTGGAATCGTTATTAAATTCTTATTATACATATCGTAATTATCACAGGAGCAAGATAACGACATGTTATTATCAAATATATTTTTGTATTATATTCTTGTAAGTCACGCTCCTATACAGTAACGTCTCGGGATTTGCTCCAACAAAACCGTCGTAATACAAAATTATCGTTAAACAAATGTAGCAATTAAATGATAAAATGATGCCAGTCTGGTAGCACACCACTATGAATTGTAATACAAAATCTTCATCGATATATGAACACATGTATTCTTCTGAGAAGACCATTGTAATACAAAATATCACAATGTAATCACATTGTTTTACAAGACTGTAATATGTAAATATAGAGGCAGATTGTATATGAGAGCCCTCTCGGGTGTTCATAGCAGAACAATGTGCATGGTTAATAGTAATTAAGCGCACGTACCGACGTGGAGTACAGGTGTACGTTCTCGTACAGGTATTCTCGCGGCCACACCTGCTTTCTCAGCTCGTCCGCCACCGACTGCTTACAGGTGAACAGGTACGTCTTGAGGAAGTTCAACCGTCTTCTGAGAGCCTGTAACGTGACGTCTTCCACACTTACGACACTTACGATGTTTTCTAAATATTGATATTGTGTGCAATATTATTCTCCATTTTTCCCGAATGTTCCTATTGTGTCCGATTATTAGTACTATGAATTGGTAGCACGATTTTACCCAGCGCAGCGGGTAACCGCAGCTAGTACTACATAAATATGTTAATATTAATTATTTATTTAATTTATAGTATGTTAATATTAATTTTTATAGTCAGTATTTCCAAAGTCACGTAACGTACCAATATGTCGTGCATTTCACTGACAACTCCATATATGGATGGGTTCAGTCGTCCTAGATCAAACAGTGGCTCCTCCTGGATGCGATCGAGCAAAAGTTTGGTGTATTTTGCAACTGTGGAGATGGTGTTGGAATATTACATTACAGCAGAGACAATCCAAGGAAAAATTATGGAACGAATGAAAGTGAATTCAAATGAACCCACTAGTCACATTACCATTTTACCATTACCATTATGAAGTACTATTTCTCCAGTTCTTTCCAGACATACATACCTTTGTGCTTGCGAAAGTCCCAGTTGTGAATGATCCGCGCTGGGATAACGTTTTCGTCATTCTCGTGGCATTCATAACAATAGTATGCACCATCAAATGCACACACTCGTGCTTTGCCATAAACTACAGTTACAAGATAAAAAACCATGTCAAAAAACAACCGACATTCAAATGCATCAAAGAAGAAATTAAGAACGATATATAAATGATTACCATATAGTAAATCATATGGTGCATATCTAATAGGGTGTACATTGTGTAGTAGAGTAAAAATTCAAAAGTACCATCTATTCCACTGTACTCTTCCAAGGTTTTGTGGTATATGCAGACATATAATGCCCAACTGTTTTCGCTCCATTTTTGTTCCATTCTAATGATTCTAACACGAACGAATTGTGTATCTGAATTATCGTAAATGTATTATCACGGGTTATCTGTTACTTCTAAGTCTCGATTTTGATGCCCTTATTTAGACTAGACTCCTCTTATAGAAACCTATTACTGTCTAACCGAGAATATAATATAGGAGATTATGTGATTATGAGAGATTATATTAGAGTATGCTTCATTGTATGCAGAGTAATAATTCTAGCTGCTGAACTTACTCATTCCAATGGGTCTTGAGCATCCCATGCACTGATAATTCTGAGCATAAAGTCCATTCTCATTGCATATATTTCCCACTATAGCAAGCAGATTCTGTGTTCGCTGGATAAAATGATTTGTCGAACCATCAACATGTGTGTATTGCACACTTACATACGTACATTTTTACATGCTTAAATAGTTGCGAAGCAAGCACTGAGTGTCAATTATATCTATATATGAAATATATTCAAGCATAAACCATACATTTGGTACTCAAACGTTCACACAATGCACTACGGCATGAAGGGTCGTTGTCGT